TATCTGCTGCCCTCCCGGCCCCTTTGCACTCCCAGTTGTGTAGCTCACAATTCAGTACTCTGAATGAGGTGAGAGAGAAATGAGCCTCTATGGCAGTATCCCAGATAGCTGGGGAAGCCAGTTGCATACTCACTTGCTCTCACTTTCTCCTGCAGAAGAAATCATGGGCACAGAAGATCTCTCTGGACCCTAAGCTGCACTGCCTTGGGGGAGGGGTGATATGGATAAAGTCATACTCTTACCCTCTTTAGTGTATCCAAACTTACAGTTTTTTGCTCTAGTGATATCCTGTAACTTCTCTGATAGAAAACTGGACTTCCACAAAGTGGAAGGTCTTCTCATGTCCATGGATGATTGCTTAAGATTTTTTTTTTCAGGGGTTCCCAGGCTGTGTGACCAAGAGGGGCTGGAGCCAGTTCATGGGCCAAGCAGAGTCCATAGCCAGGGCTGAAGTCTGTGTACTTATCACTTGATACACTGGTGGGCGAACTCTGCTTGGATCACTTGACATATGGTGCTGGACGCCAGAGCTCTATAACAAAGGCACTTTTGTCTGTGGGTGGAGCCCAATTATTGTTGTTGTGGGAAAGACATCTTTATGATATATCAGATTAGATTTGGAGCTGAAGCTGGTTATGAGATCTACTCAGTTTACACTGAAAATGGTTCTGTCTTATTGCAGCATTGTGTTTGGTCACTTACATTTTATGGTTTTTTTGAATAAAATAATATTGATATGGATGGCTAGTGATTTATCACATTTTCACAACAGCAAGAATACTACTATGTAGAAAAAGAAAAGGTGAAATAAAAGAAATGGAGGGCCACTTTGGGAGTACCAAAGATTTGAGGGAATTCGTGGAATTTTATCCATTTCACATTTGGAAAATGTTTAATTCTAATTTCCTCTATCCTATTGAAGAAAAAATTAATGTTGCCATTATTGCATATGACTGCTACATCAAAAGTATTTGCTTGAAAAGTATTGAATACAGTGGACAAATTGGGAAAAAGTGTATGTTTACATTTTGTCTTTTATGTGTTGAAATCTTTCTTTTGCAGAAGAATCAAATGGGTGTATCACACATAGAACTCCTCAGGAATTTCCCAGACTTGACCATTTTCTTCACTTGTACTGACTAATGACTGTTTCCCATACATGAGATTGTATTATTTGTATATACTACTTGATTTTCTAACTATTTGAGTAGATATGTACTCTTAAGAATGTTGTGCAATTCCTAGAAGGTCTAAGAATCTAATGATTTAGTACGTTTTTTTTTAACTTGCAGGAGCCATACCCCCATGCAAAAAAAGCCCAGGAAAATAGATTCTTTTGAAAAGGAAGACCGAGTGCATTTAGCAAATGTTACTACATTTACCTTTGTTATAAATCTGAGCATATGGTATCTTGTATCTCAGATATTTTAAAGAAGTAATTATTTCTAAAGCTGGGCAGTACAATTAGAGTAGAACTTTTAAACTTAAGAGAATATCATGTGATAGGTATTTATCTTTTAAAGCCAGCCAGTAAGATAACAGTAGTTAAGAAAAGTTCTAGCTTACACATACATACATTTTGCATTTGGCATATTAACTCTGAGTCTTTATTAATCTCAGTTATCATTTATGAGTGGCTAATTCATAAGGCTTTTCCTGTAATTAATGTTTTAGATTATTTATAATTAATATCTTTGGTAATTAATTGATAGAAATTCTCACATGTAATTTTTAAACTTGATTCTTTGATAATTGGGCTGCATTTTTGTTAGTTGCTCTGATAAACAGTTTACAGGCTGTAAATATGGAAGCTGTATAGTTAAAACATCCTTTCCTATTCCCTGACTTTTACTCAGTTGCCATTTCCAGGGACACCAGTGTTACTTACTTTTCATTGTCTCTTAGAGTTAGAATGTGGGTTTTGTTTTGTTGGGAGAATGATTTTCAAAGCTCAAAGTATACTAAAATTGAAGTTTTACAAACTTTTTTGAAACAGCTAAGATGTCAAAGAACAGAATTAACATGGTTACAATTTTGGGAGTGTAAATTTTAAAAATTTAAACAATGCTATGGAGAAAAGGCAAAAATCTACCCAGAAAGCCTTACTACCTGTACCATCTGTAGTCCCTCAGATAGGTCTGTACCATCAGTTGCTACTGTGGCTCGATCTGATTAGGAACTAAGCAGTCTATGGCTGACAATTAGTATTAGTTACCCAGTTGAAGTACTTCTCTGTGCTATCTAAAAAGGTTGTGTGTAAAAAATCTACCGTTTTCAGAAAATATTAGTTACAAATGTTTAACAAGAAAGTTTTAAGGAACTCTTAATATCTTGCATAGTAATACAGTTTTTTATTCTGAAAACTTAGTCTTGGGTCTGTGGTTGATATCTGAGGAATGTACCTATGCTGACAAGGAAAAATACCTTATTTGTTATATTTGCCTTTTTGTTGGCCTGACAATTCCCTGCCAAGGGACCTCTTTTGTCCTGGAAAAGGGAAAAGATTGAGTTCAGTATATTGTAGAGAAGTTTTTGAGCACTGTTTACTCACCAACTTTGTTTTGTTTTCTGCCTGTGGAATTTCTTTTTTAGTGATAAATTTAAAATCCTTTTAAATTTAGGATTAGATGTAAATATTTCTTCTTAGGCTATCTGCCCAGGAGCACTATTAATTTATGTCATTCTGTTGTTGTGCTGCCCATTATGGTAGCCTCTAGTCAAATGTGTCTCTTAAAATGGAAGTAAATTAAGTTCAAGTTGTTATATGTAGTTAGTGGCTGCTGTATTGGACGCAATAGTAAAATATGTCAATCATTGCAGAAAGGTCTGTTGTATAGTTTTGACTATAGTATGTATAATTCAGGTTTGGTAGCTTGGGGTGCTTAAAATTACCCCAATCCACACCCCCAAACCACTTCCTAAATTGCAGGTTTTATGTTTTTATAAAAACCCAGTAATTTAATGCTTCTGGCCAAGATGGAGGTGTAGATATATACACTTTGCCTCCTTGCGCAACCAAAAGAAGGACAACAAATTTAAAAGCAAAATATAACCAGAACTGCCAGAAAATCGAACTGTATGGAAGTCCAACAACCAAGGAGTTAAGAAGAAACATTCACTTAGACTGGTAGGAGAGGTGGAGACAGGCAGCTGGGATGGAGAGGACACGCAGCAAGGTGGTGGCTGGCGGACCAGGTGGTCCCACAATTCTGATAGCTGGGGAGTGAGACAGACCACACAACCCAGAGTTCCATTGTGGGAAAAGAAAGCCTTAAAACCTTTGGCTGTAAAAACCTGTGGGGGGTGCAGCTGCAGTAGAAACATCCAGCCTCATAGGAGAGTCTGTTGGAGAGACCCACAGGGTCCTAGAACCTGCACAATCCCACCCACCTGGAATCAGCACTACAAGGGCTCAATTTGCTTGTGGGTAGTGGGGGAAGTGACTAAAAGCCGGCCGAGAGCCAAGCAAGCAGCATTGTTCCCGTGCCCTGCTCTGGTGAACCCTAAGGCTCTGCCTCTTCCAACATAACAGGCATGCAGAGACAAATAAACATGGTCTAAATGAAAGAACAGATCAAAGCTCCAAAAATAGAACTAAGTGATGAACAGAGAGCCAGCCTCTCAGATGCACAGTTCAAAACACTGGTAATCAGGATACTCACAGAATTGGTTGAGTATGGTTGCAAAATGGAGGAAAAAGTGAAGGTTATGCAAAGTGAATTAAAGAAAAATTTAGAGGGGACCAACAGTAAAGAAAGGAAACCGGTACTCAAATCAACAATTTGGAGCAGAAGGAAGAAATAAACATTCAACCAGACCAGAATGAAGAAACAAGAATTCAAAAAAAATAGGAGAGGCTAAAGACCCCCAGGGACAACTTTAACTGATCCAATATCAGAACGTAGGAGAAGGAGAAGAGGAAGAGGAAGGAACCGAAAACTTACTTGAAAAAATAATGGAGAACTTCCCCTATCTGGCAAAGGAAATAGACTTCCAGAAGATCCAGGAAGCTCTGAGAGTCCCAAAGAAGTTGGACCCAAGGAAGCACACACCAAGGCACATCATAGTTACATTACCCAAGATTAAAGATACGGAGAGAGTCTTAAAAGCAGCAAGAGGAAAGGAGACAATTACCTACAAAGAAGTTCCCATAAGACTATTACTATCAGCTGATTTCTCAAAAGAAACCTTACAGGCAAGTAGGGGCTGGCTGGCAAGTATTCTAAGTCATGAAAGGCAAGGACCTACATCCAAGATTCCTCTATCCAGCAAAGCTGTCACTTAGAATGGAAGGGCAGGTAAAGTGCTTCCCAGATAATTTCAAATTAAAGGAGTTCATCATCACCAAGCCCTTATTATATGAAGTGTTAAAGGGACTTATCTACGAAAAAGAAGATCAAAAACTATGAACAGTAAAATGACAACAAACTTACAACTATCAACATCTGAACCTAACCCCCCCGACCCCCTAAAAAACAAAAACAAACTAAGCAGACAACTAGAACAGGGACATAATCACAGAAATGGAAATCAGAGTAGGGGAGGTGGGGAGATGATGAGGGGAAAGGTACAAGGAATAAGAAGTATAAATAGTAGATACACAATAGACTGGGTGGTTAAGAAGAGCATAGGAAATGGAGAAGCCAAAGAAGTTACTTGTACGACCAATGGACATGAACTCAAGGGGGATGGGGAGTGCTGGTGAGGGGGGGTGCAGGGCAGACGGCAATAAAGGGGAGAAAATAACAGGGCAACTGTAATAGCATAATCAATTATATATATATATATATTTTTTTTTTTTATATACCCGGTAATTTAATCTCAGATTTATCCAGTGGGATGTTAACTATACTAATCTCTGTGATATTTTTAAAAATACGTTTCTTTAGTTTTTTATATTTCTTTTGATTTGTTAGAATTTGTGTGTGTGAAATACATGCTTTGTTTCACTTGTCTTACGAAGAACAAAAATGTGCTGTTATTTGGTCCCTTTGTTTTAGGAAGCAAGAGGCTATTACGAGCAGACTGGACTTGGTCTATTGCCTGTCGTTCTGTTCAATGGAATGCCCTTGGAAAAAGAACAGCTAGATCCTGATGAGTTGGAAACCATCACAATGCACAAAATCCTGGAGACCACAACCTTCTTCCAAAGAGCAGTGTACTTGGTGAGTGGTATTTGAAGAATGATTTTGAAAGAGAATGGTTTGCTCACATATTTGTAGTAGGCAATAAAATTATTTAAGTATTGCTGTTTTCTATATATTGCTCATAATTGGTTTGCAGATTTCCAGTAAGTCCTGCTATCATGAAAATATTCATGAGACTTTATGTTGTTTTTAAAATAGCTAATTTTATTTGTTTCTGTATTAAATTTTAAAGATTCTTAAGAAGATAGTCATTCTGGGAGACATTTGTTTTACTTTAAAGTATTTTGACTTGGAAAAGGTTAAAATATTTCATATATATAGTTATTGTTGAGCTATGTCATATGCCATAAAACTCAACCTTTTTAAGTGGACTATTAATTGGTTTTCAGTGTATAAAAAGTTATGAAACTATCACCTTTGTCTAATTTTACAACATTATCATCACCCCCAAAATAAACTGGACACTTAATAGCAGTTACTTTCCATTTTCCCTTATCTTACCCCTGTCTGCCATGAATCTATTTTGTCTCTCTATGGATTTGCTTGTTTAGGACATTTTATATAAATGGATTCATGTAATATGTGGTCTTTTGTGACTGATTTCTTTAACTTAGCATAATACTTTCAAGGTTTATCCTTGTTGGAGCATGTGTCAGTACTTCATTCCTTTTTATGACCCAGTAGTAGTCCCTTGAATGGATATAGTGCATTTTGTTTATCCAAACAAAATGCATATTTGTGTTGTTTCCATGTTTTGGCTACTATGAATAATGCTGCTATAAAGAGTCATGTACAGGTTTTCTTGCGTATATATCTAGTAGTAGAATTGCCTGCTTATTGTAACAGTTTGAGGAACTAGCACTGTTTTCCAAAGCAGCTGCACCATTAAAAATTCGTGTCAGCAGTGTATCCTGGTTCCACTTTCTCCATATTCCAGCCAAAGCTTGGTATTGTGTGTGTCATTAAATGTAGCCTAGTGAGTGTGAAGTGGTATCTCATTGTGGTTTTGATTTGTATTGCTCAAGCATGGATGTTGGCCATTGTTTCTGTGCTTACTGACCATTTCTGTTTTCTTTGCAGAAATGTCTATTCAAATTATTCACTCATGTTTTATAGGGTTATTTTATTTTGTTACTTTTGAGCTGTAAGAGTTTATGCATTCTGGATATGAATCACTTATATGTATTATTTTCACATATTTTCTCTAATTTTATGATTTGCCTTTTCACTGTTTGGTGGTGTTCTTTAAAGACCAAATATTTTTAATTTTGATTAGGTCCAATTTAATTTTTTTCTTTTGTTACTTGTGCTATTTGAATTGTATGCAAGAAACTATTGCTTAATCCTAAATCATGAAGATTTATACCTCTGTTTCCTTCTGAGTGTTTTTTAAGATTTTTATTTATTGATATTGAGAGAGAGCAGATGGAAGGAGGGAAAGAGAGAGAGAGAGACAGACAGACAGGCAGACATTGATTTGTTGTCCCACTTATTTATGCATTCATTGGTTGATTCTTGTGTGTGCCCGTACTGGTCATTGAACCTGCAAAATTGGCATATTGGGGTGATGCTCTAACCCAGTGTTCCCCACTGTTTTTGGCACTGGGGACTGGTTTCGTAGAAGATAATTTTTCCACGACTGGTGGGGGTTGTGGCTCTGCAGCCGGTGCTTGAGAACTCTGATCTAACCAACTTGAGCTACCTGGCCAGGGCTCCTTCTGCATTTTATAGTTTTTTCTCTTAACATTTAATTCTTGATCCATTTTTACTTAATTTTTCTATACAATGGCGGTAGGAGTCCACCATTTTTTTCCATATCTAATTTGACATGCTACTGGATATCTTTTGGGATAATTATTTGTCTCAGTACCATTTATTGAAAAGAACATGCTTTCCTCATTAAATTGTTATAGCACCTTTGGACTGGCTGTTGTTTTCTATTGACCAGTATATATTTTTTCTTATGGATTCATAGACGTGATTATTGTTGTAAACAAGTGTGAATTTTCTAACTTTGGCTCTATCCTTTCCTTCCCTCCCTCCCCCCAGCCTCTCTCCCTCCCCTAGATTGTGGAGGTGTCTGGCTAAGAAGGGGGGGGGAAGGGAGGGAATGCCCAGCTTGTGGCCCATATATATAGTTGCTAAATTTTTTATGCCAACTTCATTTCAATAGTATAGGAAAACTTTGTGTTTCTATAGCTTTATTTAGCCTCTCCTTTACATTGTTGTACAGGTTGCTTATTACCACATTATATGTCCATTGGCATTGATTTGTAACTGTTCCCTTTTATAGTTATCTTATAAGTGAGGTAGAAAAAAAAAGCTGCAACCAAAAAAGTATATTTATATTCTTTATATTTACCTATGTGGCTACCTTTACTTGTGCTCTTAATTTTTTCTGTGGATTTGAGTTATTGTCTTATGTCCTTTCATTTTAGCAAGGAATCCCCTTAGTATTTATTACTGGTTAGGTCTGCCAGTGAAAAATTCTCTCCATTTTTGTTTATCTGGGAATGTGTTTATTTACCCCTCATTTTTTAATGATAATTTACCTGGGTATGAAATTCTTGGTTGACACCCTTTTATTTCCAGCACTTTGAATATGTAATTCCATTGCCTTTTTATTTCTGATTTACCTCTCTACCTTCTCTGGAACTCAAAACATGGCTGAGAACTGAAGCCAGGTCCCATTTCTGCTGGAGCTCTGACCAGCCACAGTGTGTTACTACCTGAATGGACATTTCTAAAATAGTAAACTCATAGGTCAGACTCTTTCCTTCACCTCCCCTTTCTGTCCCGCTGCTCATATGGGAGAATATGACAACCCTGAACCTCTTGACAGTAGACACCCCCAGCTGCAGCTAGGGCAGTCATGGGATGGTTGCTGTTCAAGGCAGCCAAACATCTGAGTTTCCATTAGAAGCCACCGGTGGAGGTGTCTGGCCAAGAAGAGGCAGGGAATGCCCAGCTTGTGGCCCTTTCCTGAGCTCCTCAGTGTTGAAGGAGATAACAAAGGTACCTGGGCTGTGGCTCCTCTTCAGGTACTAATTATTTCCTAAGGAGAGTACTTGTCATATTTATATCCATAAAATCGGTATGCTAAAGAAATTATATAGCAGCATATATTGGAAACCATTTCTCAAAATTCTCATTTAACTTTTTTAAAATTAATAATTATTTCTACCTTTGAAATTTTCCAAAAAGTTTAGCCTCTCTGTTTTCTGCTACTTTAGTTTAAATACATTATCAAAGGTATTTAGTTTGAATACTTTTTTAATCAAAAATAGAAAATTAGTAATGTCATTTGAGCATAAAAGGAGATTTGTGAACCAGAAATGTATTCTATGAGAACCAACCTTTAAATGACTCTGAATAAGTTGTATCACTTTCCTCACTGAAGCCCTGGGATAAAGCTGTGCCTGAGTTGGGGTTGTTTGTCCTCAATGTCACATGTCATTAGACACTATCTGGGGATGATGGCCTTTAGCCTGTGCTTGCCTTGCCCAAGCCTGTTTGGGAGAGGGCTGGCAGGGAATGCCTGGTGGCATGCAAAGCCCAGGGCTTAATCTCTGAGGGCTTGTTAATTGTGGACCAGTGGAAAGAATGGCAGGTTTGGAAGGAAAAAATGGGTTATAACAGGTTAACCATATACTGTGAACCATAAAGTGGGGCTTAGGAGAAAGTTGCTTTAGGCCCAGACCCCTTAATAGAACTCAGGTCCCTTGTGGATCAGAGAGAGGCCAAGTTCATCAAGTCCAGTGCACTGTTCCACAATCAGCCAATGTAGACAGGTCTTCACCTACCACTGGGGTTCCAGCCTCCTGCTGTGTTCAGAACCCACCCATCATCAGGAACAGACATTTGTGCCTCCTCCTATTACCTGACATTGAACTGCATTTTGGGAATATGGTGACACATGATATTAAACTAAGTCCTGAGACTTCAGGTGTACTTCAGCCATTATGACCAAATGTCCTAACTCCTATGACAGCAAGAAACACATTCTTCCAGTTTTATAAAAGTTTTAAAGTTATAATGAAAATGTTGTAGAATTACTCAGCAGAATGGGATAAATGTCCCACTCTGCAGTGGAGGCCTGTCTATACTTCTCCTTGGAGGGCACCTGCAGACATTACTTGAAGGAGCACAGTTGTCCCTGTTCTTTTTGTTTTTAAAGATTTCTTTCTTTCTTTATTTTTAAAGAGAAGGGGATGGAGAGACACAGAGAGGGAGAGAAACATTGATATGTGAGAGAAACATCAATTGGTTGCCTCTAGCATGCCCCCAGCCAGAGACCTAGCCCGCAACCCAGGCATGTGCCCTGACTGGGAATAACTGGCAACCCTTTGGTTTGCGGGATAACGTACAACCCACTGAGCCAAAACAGTTAGGGTATGCCTGTCCCTGTTCTGCAGGTACTCTGCCATCACAATCTAGGCCACATCGTTAGTTTGGTGTGGAGGGCTCCCTGCTGTCCTAGGACTTCACCTTCGAGCAAAGCTCAAACTGTTCTTACAACTGTCCTCCATCCCTAAAGAGAAGCAGGGAAGACAGGAGTCATAAGAAATTTTGCTTCCTGAAGTTATCTTGCCAATAACATTAAGAAATCCTGATGAATTTCAAAGAAAAGTTTTGTCTAGAGGCTCTGGGAGTAGAAGCCTTGAGGAAATGAGAAAGAAGGTGACTGTGATCTGAGAAGCTCACAATGAACAGGTCCATTTCTGGTACAGAATAATCAAGAAAAGCAGTCTAGCTTCCTTCTTGGGCTATATCCTTCAGAGTTTTAGCAGGAAGTTCTCCATGATGAGGTGATTGCCGTGAAGCAGAACAATGTTAACCTCAAATTCCACTTTACAGTGGGTGGTCTTCAGTGCGGGGCAGGTGAACAGCCAGGGGAAGACCACGTATGTGGGGACTGGAGGCTCCGACAAACATCCCCATCACCATGTGAATATTCTGAATCTCTGTGGCTTTATGGGAATACCCTTCTGCACACCCACAGGTGTCCGTGTGGAACAGCTGCAGCTCTGTGCTCCTGAGGGTAGCCTCCACTACCAGTTCGCCTGTGAATGTCTGTGTGATGACACAGTTGATTGAGTCCTCTGATGAGAAATGTGGGGAGCAAGGCTCTCTGTTTGACATGTAAGGTTTCAGGTGTGATAGTGAAGTTCATGGGACCTGGAGTCAGTTTCCCCTTCTGAGGAGCAGAGTGAACGATGAACTTGCAGGTCTTTGTCAAGCCCTTTAGCCAACAGAGACCACTTCATGTCACAGGGCAGGGTATACTGAATGTTGACAAACATGCCATAATAATCTCATACAGAACTTTGTCACCTTTCTTGTGCAGAGGAGATTCAAAGAAATTTCAGTTTTGCCACTGGGGAACTTTCCTGGATGCATTATTGTGATGGTGCTGATGATAATCTGGATGGGTTTAAGTGAATTATAGAAAGCTTCCAACACACCATGCTCTTGGCACTGAGTCATGGTTCTTCCACTGTCAAAAAGATGCCCTGGTACTGGACACAGTCCTTCCCACGTGACTACCACACCCAAGAGCATTTCCCCGGCCTGATAAACTTTGTTTGCTCTTTTAATCTTAACGTCCAGGGAGGTCCCCATCCTGAAAGCTCTGCTGCAGGTACCACTTCTTGCCACCTGTAACTCCTCCATTGCCTTTGACCTCTGGTTTCTCATTCTGATTCAGGATAGGGTTTGTGTGGCGAGTCTTTTCTCTCTCCCTCTTTTCAAGATCCTCTCTTTGGTTAGTTTCAGGACCTTTTGGGATCCCCTCTCACTTTTGACATTTTGTGATTATGTCTAGTTGTGGAATACTTGAGTTTTTCCTATTTGAAATATGTACATTCCCTTCCTTCCTCCCGCCTCCCTCCCTCCCTCTTCCTTCCTTCCTTTTTTCCTTTCTTTCTTAACAAAGTGCAGTTGACCCTTAAGCAATTCAGGGGTTGGGGCACTGACTCCCCCATACAGTCAGAAATTTGCATATTACTTTTTGACTCCACAAAACGTACCTACTAATAGCCTACTGTTATTGACTGGAAGCCTTACTGATAACATAAAAAGTCAATTAACACATACTTTGTATGTCGTATGTATTGTATACTGTATTTTTATAATAATGTAAACTAGAGAAAAATGTTAAGAAAATTATAAGGAAGAAAAGATACATTTGCAGTATTTAATGAACAAAACTTACATATTGTGGAACCCGAACCCATGTTGTAGTTCAAACCCATGTTTTTCAAGGGTCAGCTGTATAAGTATTTCTATAATATGAGGTGCAGAAGAGAAGAGTAAATAATAAATGACTTTTCTTTCCCCCACTGTAATTGTGACTCTGGAAATATAGGGTTACTTGGATGCTGGAAATTGAAAAAAAGCTTAAGGTGATTTTTATTACAAAGTATATTAACTGCTTGAGGGAATGCATGTGGCTCTCTTCTTTCAGAGACGCCAACAGTGACAGTATTTCCTGTTTTCTTATATGCCTGAGTGGTTGCCAGAGAGAAGGTGGTTGGGGAGATAGGGGCATGGAGGAGGCCTAAAATATGGTGACGGAAGATGGTTTGACTGTAGGTGGTGGGTACACAGTGCAACATACAGACCTCGTATGGTAGAAATGTACACTTGAAACCTATGTGATACTATTAACCAATGTCACCCCAATGAATTTAATAAAAATTATTTTTTAAGAAAGAGGCTCACAATGAGCAGATCTCAGAATGGGTTTCTGATTGTGTTAACTAATTTGAAGTGCTTGCTTATTTCTGGGGAAACACAGTAGTATGTGGAGAGATAAAAAAACAAACAAACATGGATTTGTATTTTATATTCAGTTCTCATTAGCTCTGTGACTATAAGTTAGCTATTTAACTTTCTGCACCACAGTTCCCTCATCTTTATTACTGGTTCTCAATAATATCTGCCTCACATTGTTGAAAGAGTTAGCATTATATTGTGCATAATACACCAAGCTATGCTTGGCAATGACAGGGATCTATAATGTGGAAACTTCTGTTTTTAGCTGTTACTGATACATGAAAAGATAATATAATACAAAATTAATGATTCTTGGTTTCTAATGAATTATTATTGATCCGATTTGTTTAGCACTCATCTGCCACACACCTTCTTTTTATTTTTTCTATAGGGTGAACTGTCCCATGATCAAGATGTGGTAGAGTATATCATGAATCAGCCGAATGTTGTTCCACGAATCAATTCTAGGATTTTGACAGCTGAGCGAGAATACCTGGATTTAACAGCAACCAGTAAGGAGCATTTCAGGAACAACTTTGGGCTCTTTTTGACTTGTCCTTCAGAATCTTTGTGTTTATTAGATTATGATATTCCGAAGATAACCCAAGATTCTGAACACCATTTTATATTTAAATTCATTGCATCCGGAGTTTATGATACAATTTTCTAAATTCAAGAGTATCTTCCCAAAGGGGAGAAATTCTTCCAAACTTTGAAAAATATTCAGTGCCTTTTAATTACCAACTTTTCAAACTTAGATGATAAAAAAAATCACCTGTATTGTTGACTGACTTAGTTATAAAACCCTTAAGCAGCTATTTTTTCTTCATCATCATTCTGGAATTAGTCAGCAATAATGTCAACAAATACCTTAGGCAGTTTTCTCAAGAACATAAGAATGATGTTATAAAAAAATAAAGCTGCATTGAGAAATAGTTATGCTATAAAACTAAATCTTTTCAAGTGCACTCTTTTAAAGTGTACAAATTTTAGAATATTTTCAAAGTTGTATGATTATTACCACTATCTAATTTTAGAATGTTATCATCACCCTAAAAAGAAATGACATACCCATTTGTGGTCACTTTCCATTTTTCCTTTCTCCTATCCTCCAGCAACCACTAATCTAATTCCTGTTTCTGTGGATTTTTCTATTTCAGATGGTGGGAAGTTTTTGTGACTGGCTTCTTTCTCTTAGCATAATGTTTTTCAGCTTCTTCCATGTTGTAGCATGTGTCAGTAGTACTTCATTCCTTTTTATGGCTGATTAATATTCCATAGTATGAATAGTCCACATTTTGCTTATCTATCCCTCAGTTGATGAACTTTTGGGTTGTTTCCCTGAGACTGTCTTTTAAGAGGTAGATATGTTAAGCCCAGGTGCAGTTTGTTCCTTTTGCCTTCCTGTGAGATTCTGAAGGTCACTTCAGCAAACAGCTGGAAATACGGAGGAGACATCACCATTTGCCCAGGAACTCTCACTGGAGGAGAAAAGATTCATATTGGTGAAGTCAAAACTGAGTGTTTTGGTTGTCATTGAGAAGAGTGAATCTGTAGGTTTGTTATGGTTGCTAGTTATGGCAACTATCTTCTAATCTAACTTGAAACTGAATATCTTTTCTTTTAGGCAGAGGAAAATGCACATCTATTCTTATATTTGAAAAAGAAAGTAGTCAGAATGTGAGCTACATTGTTTCTCTACTCTAGGTTTTAGCTTTTTACCAGAAGTTTTAATAGAGCAAGGCGAATAGCATTGTGGGTCTTTACCCTGAGTTTTTGTTGTTTTTATCATTTTAAATTAAACTGTTAATAGTTTACTTTGGAGTACTCATGAATAAGGAGCATAGAAATAGTTCCATGTTTTGGGTACCTTTTTCTGCTGGGTGCTCTAGTAATCAGCCGTGAAACACGGGTAGTCCTCAGAGACAAAGCTGCAGACTGTCGGGTGAGTGCTGTTTGGAGCAATCAGTGAAGGAGCAGCTGGCTTCCTCTTGACCCAGTAGTCATAGCTTCATCACCTTTGCTGCTTGTGGCCTGTGCTGTCCCAACATTTTTTAGAGAATACTATGTTTAAGGCCATAGTGCTTTTTCCCTTCCCATACATGATGCCATGGGCCATTTCTGTCTTATTTACCATTGCTTTCCTTTACTAGATTATTGACTGAAAGGATTATAGGCCCTTAGTATGTTATGTTGGATGAAAGGATAGGTGGGTGAGTGGGTGGACAAATAGATGGGATGTTGGTCAAGCACGGTGTGCTTGGAGGACAGTGAGAGAATGGCATTAGTGTTGGGGTGTCATAATGTATAAGACTGGGGAGATTGCTGGAGGTAGAAGGTTTATGATACCAGGCTGGAGTCTATTTTCTTGGTAGGAAGAAATTACTGGGTAGTTTAGAAGAAGGAGAATGACTTGATGAAACTGGAATTTTAGCAAGAGTCGTCTGAGAGAGAAATGGTTAATGAGAGCACTGCCCATGGACATTTAATCAGAAAAACTATGTATCTGAAAATAACCCTTTGTTTCTGTTAGGGCTAAAAATATACTATTTTCTGGCACATGAAAACATTAAAATGAGAGTTTTATTTTTTCCTCACATTATTGACCTGACCTCCCCTCCCCCCACCTCCAAATAGGATAAGGAAGAGCTTATTGTGGTGGATGGACAATGGAAGAGGGAGATGAAGTTCAGGGGATATCTTTACAAGATTATCCTCCAGTTGTAAAGTAATTGAAGTGGGAATAGAATAAATGTAAACCATTAAAATGACACATACATATATGAGAGTTATGTGAGATTTGTACATTTTAATTAACTTTGTGTCTTGAAATATGATTAATGGGGTAGAGGTCAGTAGGATTGTAAAGTTGTTCAATAAACATGAAGACATGTGTTCAATAAATATATGTCACTCATGCATTTTTATAAAACTTGTATTATGGTCATATCAGATTATCAGTTGAATATTAACATTAGATTGAATTTAGGCATATTAATTATAAATCTACTTCTTTTTTTTCAGATAACTTTTTTGTGGATGATTATGCTAGATTTACTGCCTTAGATTCTCAAGGCAAGACTGCTGCTATAGCCAATAGTATGAACTATCTGACAAAGAAAGGTAATACACGCTAGGCTTTTCGTGGATTCAGCATTTTATTTTAATATTTGCAAAAAATTCAATCATTAGTATCTGTTGGGAGAGAGATACCATAATTTATTTTATTATTTTTTATGATTTGAGTATAGAAAATGCCTGTTTATAATTTAATTCTTTATATATTTCTGAAAATTTAAATGCTGTCTATAAATTTTAAATATCAGAGGAAAAAATTTTCATGTTACAAAATGGGAAAACATTTATGATATGAATGGGTTAATGGGTTGGAAATTGGTTTGATTTGCCTCTTCAGTGACAACATTGGGTTAATTTTTTAAAGATAAACTTGTTTCTGGAAATACTTGTGTAAGTTTTAAAATTGATTTTTATGTAGTTATTTATTTAGACTAAGATTGTGTGAAATGATGTCTTTTTAATGACAGACAGATGCTTTTCCCCTGTGGTCACCCTTTCAAAGCACTGACTTGTCATTTCAGGCAGCTGTTTTTATCCCCACTGAAATCTCCCAGAGAGAATGGTTTCCCAGACATATATTAAGAACAGTCATTACTCTGGTTACTCAAGAAACTGGTTTTGAGGAGAACTGGAACAGTGCTAAACACTAATGGGACCAAGGAGAAGCATAGGTCATGTTAGGCATTATTTAATTTGCTTGTAGACAGCTGTGGAGAAGGGGGTATAAGGTGGACAAATAGAAATTGTAATGGAAAAAAATGCAGTTAAAAAATAAATAAAATTTGATAGTAGGCAATAATTATAGAAATGACATTTTCTTTTCTTCTACTCTTTTTCCTTTACCTTTGCACAGGAATGTCCTCCAAGGAAATCTATGGTAACTTTAAACTTTAGAATCTTCTGTTCCTTTTCTTAATTATTTTTTTCCAGGCACTGTTGTAACTCAGAATTTACTGACCCTTTATTTGGATGTTTCTGGAACCTGTGGGTAACAGTAGATAATTTATTCATTCAGATAAATTTTATATAAATGTTAGCAAAGAAGTATATTTCAGAAAGTTACAAAGTAATATGATTAAAGACTGTGTTATCCACATGTTCAAAGACTCTTTTTCATTTTATATGCTAACAAATGCCCAAACCATAGTAAAATTAGTAAGTGCCTGTCCCTGGTTTATAATTAAGCCACATGGAAGGTACCCTGCTTTCATTCTACTATCCAAGTGTCACTGCTTTTGCTTTGTATGTTTATTAAACTTGTAATTTTCTTTGTTTTGCATAGTTTTTAGAAATTATTTGGCTTAATGACAGGATTGAAACATAGAATGTGCTTTTTTCTCTCCAACTCAGTATCTTGTTTTATTTTTCTACAGATGATTCTTTTGTTAGGCCAGTAACTTTTTGGATTGTTGGGGATTTTGATAGCCCTCCTGGAAGGCAATTATTGTATGATGCTATTAAACATCAGGCAAGTGTCTAAAACTTCATTTTGTCCTTAAGAGCATCTGTGTGCTGACCTTCTTGTTCTGGTGGGGAGGCCAGATCCTGCTTTCTTAGTGTTTGAGAGAAAAGAGCATCGCTTCTTCAGATGTTTGCCAGCCAATAAGAAAACAGAGAAGACTGCAATAGTCCAGCTTTATTTAAGGGAGTAGATTGTTTTAGAGGAGAAAAATGAGATCATCATACACAAATTTTCATTGTATGACTGCTCGTGTTCTTGCTGCAGAGAAGCTGCGAAGATCCTGTTGAATATTGCATGGTAGAGGCAGCGTCCTTACATTTAGACAGGTCCAGGTTTTGGGGGAATACCATGCAGGCATGTGAGTGCAAATTTGATAGAAACAGGTCTTGGCATGCAGAGGACACATGAATGACCTGAAAGCTGTGTATCATGTCATCATTGGACTTGAGTGAATGGGAGTAGGGGATGGTAGAGAGTGTCATTGTCAGAGAATGGGAAGTTCCATTTCCTTTTCCTGAGTAGTTTTCAGATTGGATCTTTATCCAGGTTTCACACCCCTCAGGTGTCCCCTCAGCACCCTGTGTCTCGGGGAGGCTTACTGAATTACTGACATAGCCAGGTGATTTTAACATCAGTGGTGCACTGAGTGCCTTATTATCTAAGGGAACAGCTTAGTTGCTGTGGTTAAAGGTTAAAATTTAAAAATTTAAAAGTTAAAATTAAAAGTTAAAAGTTAAAAAGTTAAGTTAGGAGAAGTTCTAGTGAAAGACGATGGGTACATGTGCTAGGCACTCTTAACTCAAATTGATAAATGCTCAAGTGGTGGTAGAGTAGGAGAACAGGAAGGGAGAGTTGAATATTTTAAATAAATGCTCTAATTGAAATAAAATATAGGTTCAAAAGAAGTGCACAAATCATAGGATGCACAGTGTTTCAAAGTGAGCATACCTATGTGATCAACACCCAGATAAAGAGAAATAGCAAATTCCTGAAAGCCCCTACCTACTTGTGGCCATATCAGGGCTGCCCCCTAGCCTTTCTCTCTTCTCACATCATAGAATAGGTTTGCCCATTTATTACTTACTTAAATGGAATCGTATAATATGTATTCGTGTTTGGTTTCTTTCCTCAACATTTTTGAGATTCACGAAATCACAAGTAGTGATAGTTCTTTTTCATTATGTAGTTTTGTATCATATAACTATATCACAAAGTTTTGCTTATTTAATGGACATTTGGGTTGTTTCTAGTTTGGGGCTATCCTGAAGAAAACTGCTGTGAATATTCTTAAACATGTCTTTAGATATACATAGGTATGAATTTCTGTTGATTATGTTCTTGATATGAGCCCTTTTTTGGTTTTATGAATCCCAGATATCTTCTCTCACATGGATTCTTATCTTTTTACCCAGAGAGAGATTAATTTTTATTAGAAATCTGGAAAGGGCATGTGAATGAAGAAGGGTTTGAGCAGAGCCCTGAAGAATGCTTGAGACTTAAGGAAGCAAAAATGGATGTACTTGGGGTTTACTTGCCAATGTGAGGCATGATTTGTATTATACTTTCCCCACATATGGGACTCTGATGGTTTATAAGGTATGCTGTAATTACAGGATGGTAAGAAATGAAGTTGGAAAGGTAGGCAAAGGGACAGTTCATGTAGGGGTTTGAATACCTAGTCATAGCATTTTTTATTTTGTTATGCGTGCAGAGGAGAACTACCAAAGACTTTTAAGAGAGGTAGTATTTTCTCTTTATAGAATATGACTGATATTAATGCCACTTTTTAAGTAGAAAACATCTACCATATAAACCTTATTTCCCATTTTCTAAATAGAAATCCAGTAACAATGTTAGAATAAGTATGATCAATAATCCTAGTGAAGATATAAATTATGAGAACACTCAGATCTCCAGAGCAATCTGGGCAGCTCTCCAAACGCAGACCTCAAACTCTGCTAAGAACTTCATCACAAAAATGGCCAAAGAGGATACTGCAGAGGCCCTGGCTGCAGGAGCTGATGTTGGGGAGTTCTCTGTTGGGGTAAGTCTCTGAGCATTCCAGGAAACTACCTTTCTGTGTTATTTGCCACCAAAGTTCACTCCCATGGGCTGAAGTGTCCTATTCTTGATCAGGATTTGTGATTTTAGGTTTGAGTTTCAGGATATCATTTTTTTAGTTGGAAGAATCTTTCCAAGAAATAATAGTTCTGCCACATTCCCTTGATTGCTTTTAAACTCACTAGGTTTCAAGATGTGAATGATAATAAGTTTACGTATGTTTTAAGCACATACATAAGACATTTGTATAGTTTTTAAAAGACAGACAATATTTATATGTTGATAAAGCAAAAAACTGAGATTTAAGCCAGTTAATGAGTTAGAAGCTAATGTGTTCTTATGTTTTCAATATAAGCCTATATCTGTTCATTTGTACCTATCATACTTTTACTGTTTTTCAGTCCTTAAGTTTATTTAAAATGATGAGTATACTTGATATTTTAGTTAGAAAAAAAGGTTCTCACTTGAAATTAGAAATATTTTTAAATGCAGAATAGAGGTATCATGAACACTAGTTTGCCAGTTGAGCAACTTGATAGATGGGAGGCTGGGGATATGGGAGGGAGAATGGAGACATCATAATGTTAATTATTAAAATTAGTTATTATTTTCCACTAAAAGCGCATTTTATAATTTATTCATTATGATTATTCATTTTTATGATCTAATAACAATTACTTTTCCTTAATAACAATTACTTTCCTAGGGCATGGATTTCAGTCTTTTTAAAGAGGTCTTTGAGTCTTCCAAAATGGATTTCATTTTGTCTCATGCCATGTACTGCAGGGATATTCTGAAGCTGAAGAAGGGACAGAGGGCAGTGATCAGCAATGGAAGGGTGAGGTCTTGTCCTGAGACAAGCTTGACTTCAAATTAGATCAGTGAACAGTCTTGGCAGCATTCTCCTCTGAAGGTAGTAAACTCTTCAAACAAAGCCACTCTTTCCAAAGGTGATTAGGGCTTATGTGGTGCTGATGGTTGTTTCTGCTCTCTTATTTTAAAGAAAGGTTGCTCATTTTGACATGTGTTCTGTGTTTAATTTTGTCCTGCCATTGTGTAAGGTGGTGAGACTGCGATGGCTCTCAGAACATGTCAGTGAAGCCTATGACACATGAAGCACTCATTCCCTACGGGGTCCATGCTTGTAGTTTGTGCAGTCTCCATGCATTCAATAGGGTTAGATTTACACTATTTTGTAAAATCTTGCAGCCACTGAAATAACACTGGTGTATCTTCCAAACTTTAGTCTTAGCACATAGGGTAAAATCTTTGTTATCAACTGCTATATTTCTATTTTGACTTTATTATTTATATTGAGTGAGACTTAGTGAAAATTATATTATCTTCAGACTTTAGTTACTGTAAAAATATTGTAAAGTGTACAAGTCTACATTCTATGTAGTTGAGAAATTGATAAGTAAATAATAACTATCAGTTCATTGGGGTCTTATTTTTACATTTTTATTGGCTATTCAGACTTAAACATGTCTTGAGTCTTTAACTTGATTTGGTTCATAAGTTAGCCTGAGGACAACAAAGGACTTCTTCACAGCTTGCAGATTTCCACACTGACCACCGTACTCTTCCTCATAGATCATTGGGCCACTGGAGGATAATGAAGTCTTTAATCAAGATGATTTTCATCTCCTAGAAAATATTATCTTAAAAACTTCGGGGCAGAAAATTAAATCTCATATTCAACAGCTTCGCATAGAAGAGGATGTGTAAGTTATACATAGAAGAAATTTATTCATGTCATAGGGACTATATATATTTTTAATCTGTATTTTTAAAATTTTGTTTTAATTTAATTTTTCAACTGCAGTTGACATTCGGTATTATTTTATATTAGTTTCAGGTGTACAGCATAGTGATTAGACATTTCTATAATATATGAAGTGATCTTCCCCGTTAAGTCTAGTACCCAGCTGACATCATACATAGTTATTACAATATTATTATATACCAAATCTTCTTTATCCATATCTTAGCTGTTGTAAATAATGCTGCAATGAACATAGCAGTGCATATGTCTTTTCATTATGAATTAGTGTTTCAGGTTTCTTTATTTATATATATAGACCCAGATGTGAAATTGCTGGATCATATGGTAGATCTACTTTTAATTTAATAGTAGCTGCACCAAATTGCATTCCCACCAGTGGTGCACAAGGGTTCCCTTTTCTCCACATTCTCGTCAATACTTCTTATTTGTTGATTTATTGATGATAGCCACTCTGATAAGTGTGAGATGATGTCCATCTCCTTGTGGTTTTCATTTGCACTTCTCTGATGATTAGTGACATTGAGCATCCTTTCATATGTCTATTCATCATCTGGATGACCTCTCTGGAGAAGTATATATTCAGGTCCTCTGCTCATTTTTTAATCAGATTGTGTGAATTCTTTATAAATTTGGGATATTAAACCCTTATCAATTGTATCATTGGTGAATATCTTGTCTTATTCAGGAGGTTGCCTTTTTGTTTTGTTGATGGCTTCCTTTGCTGTGCAGAGCTTTTTAGTTTGATGTACTCTAATTTGTTTATTTTTTCTTGCCAAAGGAAATATATCAGAAAAAAGAAACATGCCAAGAACAATGTGACAGTTTACTGCCTGTATCTTTTCTGTTTTTATGCTTTTTGTCTTATATATAAATCTTTAAAACATTTTGAAATTATTGTATATGGTGTAGGTAGGTGGTTTAGTTTCACTTTTTTTGCATGTTATCTGTCCAATTTTCCCAACAACATTATTTGAATAGGCTGTCTTTATTCCATTGTGTGTTCTTACCTCCTTTATCAAATACTAATTGACGATAAGGGCACGAGTTTATTTCTGGGGTCTGTATTCTGTTCCATTGATCTATATTTGTTTTTATACCAGTACCACACTGTTTTGATTACTATGGCCTTCAGTGTAACTTGGCATCAGGTAGCCTGACTTCTCTGACTTTGTTCTTTCTCAAGATAGCTGTAGCTATTCGAGGTCTTTTGTGATTCCATATAAATTTTTGGAATATTTGTTCTGGTTCTGTGAAATTTGCCATATGCCACTGTTATCTTGATAGGAATTGTGTTAAACCTATAGATTGCTTTGAGTAGTATGGACATTTTAATTACATGAATTCTTTCTATTAATGAACATAGCATATATTTCCATTTATTTCTACCTTTTTTTCTTCAATGTCATAATTTTTTGAGTACAGGAATTTTAATTCCTTTGTTAAATTTATTTCTACGTATATTTAATGCAATTGCAAATAGGATTGCTTTCTTAATTTCTGTTTCTGATAGTTAATTATCAGTATATTCAAGTTCACTTTCTTTTTTCATACTTTATTTTTTTCAATTGTCTACTTATACCCTCTTGTACCTCCACCCAGCCACCCACCCCAATCACCACATTGTTGTCTGTGTCCATGAGTTCTTTTTATTTTTTGCTTGATCCCTCCACCACCCCTAAAATTTCCACCTTGGAAATGCCAGCTTGCTCTCTATTTTTGAGTCTACCTCTATTTTGCTTATTAGTACAGTTTGTTAATTAGAGTCCACATATGAGTGAAACCATATGTTAGCTGCCTTTCTCTGACTGGCTTATTTTACTTAACCTAATGTTCTCAGAGTCTTTCCATGCTATTGCAAAGGGTAATATTTTCTTTTTTACAGCTGAGGTAGTATTCCATTGTGTAAAATGCACCATAGGTGTTTTATGCACTCATGTAACCAATGGACACTTGGGCTGCTTCCAGATGTTGACTGCAGTGAACATAGGGGTGCATATGTTCTTTCAAATTAGTGTTTTGAAAATTCTCAGAAATGGAATTGCTGGGTCAAAAACAGTTCCATTTTTAATTTTTTTGAGGTAACTCCATAGCGGTTGCACCTATCTGCAGTCCCACCAACAGTACAGAAGGGTTCTCTTTTCTCCACGTCCTCTTCAGCACTTGTTTGTTGATTTATTGGTAATAGCCATTTTGACTGGTGTGAAGTGATATCTCATTGTGCTTTTAATTTGCATTTCTCTCATGATTAGTGATGTTGGCATCTTTTCATGTGATTCTTGACCATCTGTATGTCCTGTTTGGAGAAGTGTCTATTCAGGTCCTTTACCCATTTTTTAATTGGATTTTTTGGTATGGAGTTTTATAAGCTCTTTATAAATTTTGGTTATGAACCCCTTATCCATGTATTGGTGAATATATTGTCCCCTTCAGTGGGTTTTCTTTTTATTTTGTTGATGATTTCCTTTGCTGTGCAAAAACTTTTTAGTTTGATGTAGTCCCAGTTGCTTATTATTTCTTTTGTTTCCCTTGCATGAGGAGTTATATCAGAAAAAATATTGCTATAAGCAATGTCTGAGATTTTACTGCCTATGTTTCCTTCTAGAATTTTTAAGGATTTGAGTCTTTAATCCATTTTGACTTTATTCTTGTGTGTGGCATAAGAAGGTTGGTCTAGTTTCGTTATTCTGCACATATCTGTCCAATTTTACCAACACAATTTATTGAAGAAACTCTTGTTAGCCCATTGTATGTTTTTGCCTCCTCTGTCAAAAATTAATTGATTATAAAGGTGTGGGTTAATTTCTGGGGTCTCTATTTTGTTCCATTGATCTATATGTCTATTTTTATGCCAATACCATGCTGTTTTGATTGCTGTGACCTTGTAGTATAGTTTGATATTGGGTAACATGATTCTTACAACTTTATTCTTCTTTCACAAGATCACTGTTAATATTTGTGGTCTTTTGTGGTTCCATATAAATTTTTGGAATATTTGTTCTAGTTCTGTGAAGTATGCCATTCATATTTTGATAGGAATTGCATTAAATCTGTGGATTATTTGGGGTAGTATCGACTTTTTAATGATATTATCTTTATATTCATGAACACAGGATATGCTTCCAGTTATTTGTATCTCAATTTCTTTCTTCAGTGTCATATAATTTTTTGAGTACGAGTCTTTTACACTCTTGGTTAAATTTACTCCTAGGTTTTTTCTTTTTAAATTGTGAGTGGGAGTGTGTTCTTAATTTTCCTTTCTGATCTGTCATTATTGGCTTATAAAAATGCAATTAATTTTGTATCCTGCTACTTTACTAAATTCACTTTTTAGCTCTAGTAGTTTTCTGGTGGAATCTTTAGGATTCTCTATGTACAGTATCATGTCATCTGTGAATAATGACAGTTTTACTTCTTTGCCATTTGGATGTCTTTTATTTCTTCTCCTTGTCTGATTGCTGTGTCTAGCCCTTCAGTACTATGTTGAATAAGAGAGGTGAAAGCAGACATCCCTGTGTTGTTCTCATCTTAAGAATGCTTGTAGTTTTTGCCCATGGTGTATGATTCTGGCAATGGGTTTGTCATATATGGCTTTTATTATGTTTAGGTATGTTCCCTCTATGCCCATTGGCTGAGAGTTGTTATCAAAAATTGGTGCTGGATTTTATAATGCTTTTTTTCTGCATCTATTCATATGATCATGTCGTTTCTATCCTTCATTTTGTTTATGTGGTGTATCATGTTTATTGATTCGTGAATGTTGTACCAACCTTGAATCTCTGGAATAAATTCCACTTACCATGATGTATGATCTTTTTGATATATTGCTGTATTCATTTTACTAATATTTTGTCGATGATTATAGCATCTATGTTTATCAGTGATAATTGGCCTATAATATTTTGCGGGGTGGGTAGTAGCCTCTTTATTTGGTTTTGGAATTAGTATAATGCAGGCCTCATAAAATGAGCTTGGGAGTCTTTGTTCCTCTTGAATTGTTTGGAATAGTATGAGGATTTGAGTAACTGGTAAAATAATCTGTGAAACCATCTGCTCCAGGGCTTTATTATGTTGGGAGTTTTTGACTACTGCTTCAATTTCATGTAATCTGTCTACTCAGATTCTCTGATTCTTCCTGATTTAGTTTTGGGTTATTGTATATTTCTAGGCATTTATTCATTTCATCCAAATTGTCACATTTGTTAATGTATAGTTGTTCGTAATAAAATCTTTGTATTTCTTGGTGTCAGGTGTTACTTATCTTTCATTTCTGATTTTATTTATTTGGGTCCTCTATTTTTCTTGATGAGTCCGGTTAAAGCTGGTCAGTCTTTTCAAAGAACCAGCTCTTAGATTCATGGATCATTTGTAATTTTTTTTAGACTCTTTCATTTATATCTGCTCTGATCTTTATTATTTCTTCTACTCATGTTGGGCTCTGCTTGTTCTTTTTCAAGTCCCTTTAAGTGTAAAGTTAGATTGTTTATTTGAGCTTTTTCATGTTTCTTGAGCTAGGACTGTAATGCTATGAATTTCTGTCTTAGGACTGCTTTCCCAGTGTCCCACAGATTTTGATTTGTTGTGTCCTCATTTTCATTTGTTTCAATGTATCTTTTGATTTTTTATTCCCTTGATCTCATGGTTAGCACAATTCATTTTTCATAACATATTACTTAGCTTCGATGTCTTTGTATATTTTGCACTTTTCTTCTTGCGATTGATTTCTAGTTTCAGTATTATGGTCAAAGATGCTTGATTTTATTTCAATCTTAAATTTGAGACTTTTTTTGTGTCCTAACGTGGTCTGTCATTGAAAACATTCCGTCTGCCCTTGAAAAAGTATGTATATATTGCTGCTTTGGGGTGAAATACTCTGAAGATATAAACTAAATCCATTTGATCTAGTGTGCCATTTAAAGCTGTTGTTTCCTTGTTGATTTC